CACCACCACTGCAAAAATTTAAACCTGATAATAGCGTGCACCAAATAGGAGAAATAAAAAAGCTAGCTCTCTACCGTAGACAACAGCATGGGAAACAATTAACAAAGGATTTCTTTGCGATGAAATAAATTGCCATCAAATGTTTGTTTTGTGTCAAATGCTACATGCATCAATAATCTTGCGGAGATATTCCCAAGGTTAATGCATGCTGATAGCCTGTCTTCATAAGAACAAATATACTCGCCAGTGGAACAAATTTGACCGGTCCCGATTATGCTCGTTTAAAGGGAGCGAACCGTAAAAGTCTTTTCTAGTACGGATAAATTGCTGTCCGGAGCCAGACTAACTTGACTTATTCCGGTATCAATAACCAGGTTGAATGGTGCTGCTAACATTAAAAAGGGAGAAAAATAAAGTAAAACACGTCGTAAAATGATTTAGCTGCATTAATTGGTATGGTACATGACGTGACATTTCGAGAAAAATATGCGGCTGGGGTAAAACAAAAAGTGCGTAAATTGCATTCAAAACGAACCGTCTTACCTCATGTTCCGGACAAAAGAAACCAGATTTCTCCCACCACTCGTACCAAAGAGCCTCCACATACTTTGGCGAATAAGAATTCGGCATCGGCTGAGAAACGTCTAATTGGATTTAAATTATCGTTTTTAATGCAGGCAAACCTTTCTTCCCCTGAGAGTCTTTTGTTGCGACAAATTCCTGTTGTTGTTGACTTTGCTTTTTCTTCTTAGACTGGGTGGTTTGCTGTAAAACAAATCCTAATGCAATCAACTGAAATATCGAAAAATGCTCATGAAAAGAAAACATCTAAAACCATACGGATGCATAAAGACCATTTACCTAAAGTATACGGTCTTATAGTTCACTCCTTTATGGTACAAAATTACTGATCAAACTTCGCGCAACATATATGCATTTTATTTTTGATACGCTGGTACTTATTCATTGAGAATTTTTCGACCGACAGTTTTGAGAAACAACACAACAATCTATTTGGATTTAGAGACTTATCTACGGCTTTTGATGAGAGCATCATTGGAAAATTATGGTAAAATTGAACGTTGTAGAACAACTTTACCACACATTCTAGAATTGAATTGAAATTCGTGACACACTGATTGTTTTTATTTAGCCTGCCAGATGTACAACAACCAAAGAGTGAATATTTGTCAGGACTAATTTATTCGTTTACGGTAAAAAGGCTTTATTCAAATGAACACAGCCACAGCTAAATCGGAAAAGGGAACAGTCCGCATTCTTATCAACAATGTGCCTTACCTTGGATGAATCTTGGGTTATTTTGTTTTTCTTAGCCTCAAACTTGGCCATTTTTTTCTCTCTTTTGGCGTCCTTCTTCATTTGGACCTTTGATCGGCTACCTTCTTCATCATGAGCATCACCTTCCATTTTAAGGTTCAAGCTTGAGTGTGCTGTACAGAACTGGGTTCAGACACTTTGTTTTCTTCTCGTGAAGACTACTTCGAGATGTGTGTTTTAGACGCAAGGCAGTATCTGATGTGGTCCAAAAAAAAGCGAGAAATAGCAGACAAGGGTTATGAATGATAGAATCATCACCAAAATAGCGAGAAAACTTGTATTAATATAGCAGCAAAGTCCCAAGAACTGATCCGCTTTCATGGACGATTTGTATCATCAAAAAAGCGAACAGAACCTCATGAATTAGGATGCACGTGGTATTCACTAAAAAGCTGTGGCAATGGCCATTTTTGTGGGATCCAGGTTAAATCGTTAACCCTGCCTTGCCTGTGCGCTGACCTAACAATCAAATGTCTTAAACAATACGTTCAAGGGATAGAAATAGAAATTTCGAATTTTAACAACTCTGTGCATTTATTCAGTCGGTAAGTGTCAACACGTTTGACCGTATAAAGTGAATTCAGCAAGGTTTGGAAATGAACACAATGCCAAAACGAAGACCTTGGAAATCACAACTACCCCAGAGCACATTCAACCATCGAACGCAAAGACAATGAAAACTGTTCTACTCTTCATGTATCTGGGATTATTCCTGCTCCCCCCCCCCAACGGTCAGGTCAAATAATGTTGTTCGAATGTACAATGCTCGAAGGGCGTCTTACACCTAAGGAAAGTGCTATGGGGCAAAACTGAGATTAGCCTCAGAAATAAAATCTGCCG